GCAACTGGGCTTTGGAATCCTTTGCTGAGAACTTTCGCAACTATATAAATCAATTTCAACCATATAAATCAATTTCTGACCCCATATTATAATCGGGGAAGGAAAATTCGATTCCGTGCTTCCAGAAGGGACTTATTTCAAATCTGTTTTGTTTATATTACTGTTGTTTTAATGCACAGTGCACCCAAACTAGAGCGGTTAGTTTGTGCTCTTTAATAACGCAGAACTCACTTGGATGTCGGAAAACGTCAGATTTCACCTAAAATTATCCTACTTATTTAGCAAAAAATTAATTTGAAATGACTTATTTGCTAATGAACAGTTGTGTCATCCTTAAATGAATTCAACTAACTACCATGCTGCTCGCTAAAATTTCGGTCCCGACAATTCATGAGTTAGGCCACACACTGCTCAGTTCAATTCAATTTATTTGAGAGAAATTTAGGTGTACGCCATATTTGTTTAAATGTACGTTGTGATACCAGAAGTACTTTTTAATACAAGGGAGTGGGAAAAATCTGTTCAGAAAAACGAAGCGAAATAGTCACACAAAATCATAGGGCGAAGGAGCAAATGTGTGCAGTTTTTACTTCAAGAACAGTAGCTCAGCCTATTGGCGATGCCCAATGACACGAGCGAGTGAGGTGCGGTAGATGCGATCACTGGCGGGATTGTCATAGTTCGCATAAAGTCGGAAAGGAAGACCGCGAAAATCTTCGCCTGAGTATAATGATAAGAAAGCGTAGGCTATAGGTCTTGTATAGTCAAATATTCGATAAACCGATGTTACTGAATCATAGCAAGTAGGATAGTAATACTAATACTTTTACGGACGTCGGGATGACATTGTGACGTTTTGCTAAATATTTGCAAGAAATACGAACTTAATAACAGAATTTCCGTTTACAAGGCATTTTGACGCTAGGTTTTCTATAATCTGGAAGAAAAGTGAGTGATCTAAAAAACGGCATTGCTTAGAATCAAAAAATCAGAACGTAGCCTTGTTCCAACTCTAGACATTCGGCAGTAAAAAATTCAAAAAAAGTGTAATGCGCCGCTCACTGAGATATCAGAACAAAAGCTGTCAGTTGGTACTTTTCGCCGCAATTCTATTGCATTCAGGGCCTTGTGCAAAAGCCTCCTTGCTTGCAGTTGAGATATCTGTACTTACTGTGTTGGCTATGTAAAACTCAGCTTAATGATAAACAAAAGATGTCACTGGAAATAGCACCGCTTTAATGCTCCGAAGAACGTGAAATTAACGTCGTGAATCATGATTATTCCGGCCAACAAATGCCCTCTTTACCGATTTTCCTGCTGCTGCGTAATTACTAGGGATGGAAATACTAAAAAAAACTCAAATGAACTCCAATCAGAGAGTTCGCCGTCGTTAACAAAATTCCAAAGATTCGTTTGCACTTGTGGTTTAGGGGCAAAGACAGGGGTTTAAAATAGAAATAGGTAAGGAGATCTAGGGTTCGACTCGAAACATAGGTCTACGATTACGGGGTTAGCTAACTTAGCGTAGTTTACTGAAGTTATAACTTTAATCGCGGTCATCACAAAAATCAAATTTAGCGATATATTTAAAAAGCCTTTATTTTCAGTTTTCATTTTTTCCTTCCACGTAAAGCTCCTGATTTCCAGTATTTTTTTTTCGAATTTGTCGCCCGTATGTTTGGGGATTTATCGGTCATCTAAGCAAACTAATGTAAAAAATGTTCACTTTTGCTTTTCGAAAACAGGTATGTAACAGTTTCATGTATCCAAACTTTAAAATAAAAACTCTTTTGTTACCATCTCTATATATCAAGAGATATTTTTCTTTTCATCTTCCCAATAGAACAACACATACGATCGTCGCCGAAGAGATGTTCCTCGTGTGACCGCATTTTGATGAATGAAAAACTCCAGATAAAGAAGAGGAAGAAGAAGGTGTGTCGGCAACCGAGTCGTAATTGTATTCGCCTGGGCTTTCGAAATCTTACTGGAATGCATCGTCAGAGATAAAAGTCTCAACGAAAAACAAGCAAGAGTTATAGGGGGGGGGGTAGGGGCCAATCAACCGTTAGCAAGGAAGTATCAGGTCGCATCTTGCGCACTCGTTGATGATCCCGGTGACCTCTGCAATGCCCCCTCCCCCAATGAGCGGACGTTTTTTTCTCCTTAAAATCCCAAAGAGATGTTTCACTGCTCAAAAAATCTATGTAACACCTCATGTTTCAGGAAAATTGGCCTTGCCAACAAACTGAGATATCATTTTTCGCAACCACATCACACATGTACAAATAGGGAACTCAAAAGCAATCTACCTATATATCCCTTACATAAACTGATACCTTCCGAATATCAAACCAATTCGGCTACCAAGCACTATTAATGACGAAATGGCCAAACTCTGGTGCAACTTCACGGAGTTACAGATGGACATGGAATATACAATATCAGCTAGGGCTTGCAATGGCCAACAATGCAGCTCTGAGTCACAACCGATTTCTCAGCAAACACAAAATACACGTGAGTAAATGAAAAGGGAATATTTATGTGTGATGCTTGTTACTTTGTGCAATTTGGGTCGGACACAGCTTATATTTATCCTCCACTAATATGCCAAAACAGACGAGACGATGAGGGGATGGAACACCTATCGGACGCATTATTTCAATATGGTATAAATACGACGATTTCTTTGAAAACAGATAAGCGGTGCGCACTTCTTCGAAAGCGGAAGCATTTCATACCGACAACAGTTGATATTTTTATGAGGCAAACTAACTAAGAGAAGCTAGTTCTGTGAAAACGCATATATATTGTAATACGTTTTAAACTTTGCAGGTGGGACCCAATTTTTATTTCGGTAATACGCTTTAAACTCAGCAGATTAGACCAAATTTTCAGCTAAGTTATCCCCAATTCAACTCCTGTGCGCGGCTGACAGATGACGGCTTCGACGACGGCTGTTCTAATCTTCTTTGTTTTTGTTGGCAATCTGCTTCCGTTTTTGCAAATGTGACTGTGCTTGGAGCAATACCAATCTGAGACCAATCTGAAGGACACTCCTAATTGTTTTTTTTGCACACTGCCATAGGCAAATTTTGTAGTTCTGCAGACTGGGTGCAGGACGACTGACGATTGCAAGGCATAACATGCAAACAATTGATTTTTATAATTAACAAGATGCGTTAAATATTCGAATTGGATAACATTAACACTTAACTTATCTCCTATCAAGTCGTTATTTAAAATTGTTTTCGTTTGATTCAACAGCTCATCCTACGGCACAAAAGACAACCACACCGACAACTGAAGGTGATTTATTTAATCCACGAATACCTGACCTAAAATCCTAAGCTGACGTTTCTTCATTGCCACTAAAACATAAATCGTTGCGATTTCATGGGCTAGTGCATGCTATTACTCACCAAAATGTTTCCATTGCATTTTAGTCGGCGGTTACTGATATATCTGAGCACGCTTAAAAATCATTTTTTATACTTTAGCAGTAGCCATTTGAAAGTAGAAATTTGCTTTGAAAAATGGAATGCTGTTTCGCAAATTTATTTAAAATAGGGAGTTCAAAGGCGTCTGCCTATATTTCCCTTGATGAAATGGAACTTGGAACTTGATGGAGCCATTTGATACGTGGCCTGTGTTATCTTCGGCTGAACAATTTTGGGAGTTTTCACGTCCGTTGCCAGTAACATTGTGTCTGACCTGCGTACGATTGTTCCCCTTTCACAATTTTTTCACCTCGCCTGGTCCGCCTCTTGTTTTAATCCCTTTTCCCGAAAATTCTATTGGCTCCACACTGCCTCAAGAGACAGCTGTTTTGACTCGCTGAGCTGAAGACCCGTGACTTCCTTTGTGTCAACGGTGCTGTCTGCCCCCTCCCACTCTTGTTCAATATGCAGCTGTAGCGCCTGCCTGACCTGAACACCTTTTACCCAGGTCCCTTCGCGTGCCGCTGCTGCTCCGAGGGCCACTTGAACACCCCTCTTCCCTGCTGACGCATTTTGGGCCTCTGTACACGACACTCGCTTCCGGGCAATGTTTCATACCAATCGGACGGCATACGAACTGGCGCCCAAGTCACATTAAAGTAGCAGCTGCCCCCTCTCCCACCATACACGCTCTCCCATGCCTGGGTTCGCCCTGCATAAATGTGGCGTTATTCGACGAGCGTCATCTCTTTGTCCAGAGTCAGACGATATTTGGCCAACTCTCTTGTTCTTGCTTGCATGTACCTATTTTTAAGGTTTGCGCCTCGGTTATTCTTTACATTTTGTTTAACAGTACTGTAATTCACTGATTGTTATTATCATTGGATGTGTACTACGCGTAACTACTAGATACAGAGTCAAAAGGATATAAGAAACGGTAAATAATACTTAACAGATACAACATATTTGGCCGGATTGGCAAATTACACTTGGACAAAGCACGCAACAATTACAACGTATTTGGCACGGGACAAGTACATTCGGACGATAAGCTGAAGGCGGCCGGATGGAATAAATCTGATCAGAGCGAATCCAAACCTTCGGACATCCACGTCGGCCCTTGTAAGTTAAGCTCTGGTAGATGTCCAATTCACAAGTATAATGCAGCTTTAAGGGCCTTTATAATTGCTCAGATCCGCGTGAAACGTATTGGACGCAAACTAGAGCTAGCTAGACGCTTAGTGAAGCTAGGTAGATACGAAACAAGACTAGACTTTTTGAATGTTGGTGCCGAGCGTCGACACTCTCAGGCCTGTCTGGACGCATTTAGCAATAGCCGTGGCATCGCCAATGGCCACTGCCACCTTAGGCAGCAATTGGGAGTTCTGTACACCATAAATCACTCCTTCTGGTGACTACTACATTTTAACTTCCAACCTGGGATTCGACCTGATGATTGTAGCGATCCTAGTACACGCACTACTTTGACCCCTACAAGACTAAGTCACCTGAAATTGAAAGGTCTTTCGTGGTTGAAGGCTCGGCACTGAGCGCGGAACCATGCACTATGAGATTGACATCTTAGTGATCACACCTGAACGATATACTGTTCGGCGAACTCACGATTGTGAGGTTGGCATACCCATTGGAACGACACCCAATGTTGACTACCGGGAACAATGCATAACCGAAGAGCGGTTCGATAACTTTTTCGCACAAGGGGAACGCATATCAAATAACAGACCTCTGGGTGCCCCAGCCTCAAACAGTAACGATCTGGGGCCCCTTACACCAAACAGCTCGGTATGGAGGCGAAACTGTGGAGAGCTGCCCAGCACTGTTTAAGCACTATCATGTGGGATGGAAACAAGTAAGTTATTTGGCGGGTGTCTTTTGGCGTCGCAGGACGAAATAATACACATTACAACGGCGTACTAAATGGCTTCCAGCTTCTGGAGAGCCGAAAATGCGTGATGTGGTCCACGGATATAGTGAGCACAAGTGGCCACTAAGGGTCATGGGTGTTAGGAGTTTAGCTTGACCAAATGCTAACAACATTTGTAAGCTCTCCTGAGGCGCCGTGACTGTCACAGTGTCACAGTGTCTCTTCGCCCTGATCGCCTTCACGCCATGACCTTAAAGGCTGCACCGGAGACACGCACGCACGCGAGCCTACGCAGGGCCCAACTGGTCGGTGACCTTATCCCAGTGCGGTCAATCAGACCACAAGAGAACGCGCCTTGGCGATCATTTATAAACCACTGTCACCTCGCAGACAGTGAGTCGCACACGGACTGCGAGGACACCGCAAGTCTGCTCTCAATGACGGAGTTTTAGCCCCGAGGCGGGTACATCAGCACGCTGGAGATCAACCTGCGGCAACTGCCACCTGAGACAGCAATTCAGGGTTTTGTTCACAATAAACCCCCCTCCAGCTGGAATGAAAAGTTACGCCATTCTTATTATGTTCTTTCTCGGGGATCCCAACGGTCGTAATTAGACGGTGACACATGTCAGATGGTGCCGGTATAACAATTAGAAGATGCTAATATAGCGGCCGGTTGAAAGAGCTGCTTAGAAAATTACTACTAGATTTGAATGGTTGTTATGAACAGATTTTCTATGGCTTATTTAGGATTGTTCACGAGAGAACGGCGGGTGGCGGTGTGAGGAGGGATGTCCATAAGATTTGTTTACTAGAGGGTAGACAGTAAAAAGGAACTAATGAAGCTGGTGTTAGTGACAGGAACGGATTCAAATCATTTGCACTAGTGTCTGGTAATGTGATTCAGATGAGCTGAACATAGGTAAGATACGAGAGTCGGACGTGGAACGTACGTGGCAGATTGGCGGGCGGTGTTATCTTCAGCTGGACAATTTTGGAATTCTATACGTCCATCTCAAGTTAAATTCTGTCTGAACTACATGTGATTGTTCCCCTTGTAATGACTCCACCTTCGGCATCATGCCAGACATCGGGTCATGTGATTGCAAGTCTTGACCTACCTTTTGGACAGCCACATGCTCCGATGTGAACGCTTGCCTCTCGTGGCGGCCATTTACATGCGTGCACTCGCATGCTGACCTAGTTCGTTAGGCCAATCTTTTTCAAAGTCGACGCACAAAGGACCTGACTAAGGTGATTGCCTATTCTCTGACACTTCAGACTTTGCCTTGCCCGGGTGCAGACCTATGCTCCTCCGATAGTCAACTCGCTCTAACTTTACTTCAATCCTTCTGTACAGAAAAAAATTATTCCTGCAACTCTGCCCTCCATTGCTTCTCTTCTCCTAAGAAACCGCGCTTTAAGATCGCAGTGGCAATGGGCTACACATATTAACTTGTCCTCCTGCGATAGTCTTGCCTTTCTGATTGTCTCCCAGGGGTCATTTTGTGTCCC